TCCCCTCGATCTCCCTGGCCCCCCATCCCCTCCATCTCCCTGCTGGCCTTTGCATCAGGAGCTGGATCTGGACGCTGAAGGTCATAGCTGAGTGGTTGCTCCTCAGTCACTTTTTAAAAAATATGCATTTTCTAGCCCCAGGCTTGGCTCGGTGGATAGAGCGTCGGCCCGCCCACTGAAGGGTCCTGGGTTCGATTCCCGTCAAGGGCACGTACTTGGTTGTGGGCTCCCGGCCCTGGTCAGGGGCGCTTTCGGGAGGCAACCAACCGATGTGTTTCTCTCTGTCTCTCCCTCTCCCTTCCACTCTCTCTCGAAATCAATGGAAAAAAATATCCTCAGAGAGGAAGGGAGAGGGAGAGAGAGAGAAACATCAATGATGAGAGAGAATCAGGGACCGGCTGCCTCCTGCACGCCCCCCACACTGGATTGCGCCTGCAACCCGGGCCTGTGCCCCGACAGGGAATGGAACCGTGACCTCCTGGTTCATAGGTCGATGCTCAACCACCGAGCCACGCCGGCCGGGCGTCCGCAACCACTTTTCATGTTGAGGCCTGGGGTGCAGAGGGACCTGGTGGAGGTGGGAGACACCGGCTTTCACTGAGCCGTGGGGACTGCCCAAGCCGGGTCATTTCCAAGGGCAGCCGGGAGCCATGGAGGGTCCAAGAGTGATAGCAGCTGGGCCTCACCCCTGCCCCCCGCCCCCCGCCCTCAGCTCGGTCAGCACCATCCGGAACCAGCGCTACCACATCCACGCCAACCTGTCCTCCGCCATCCTGGTGGCCCAGGTGCTGCTGCTGGTCAGCTTCCACTGCCGTCCGGGCACGGTGAGCCCCCCCCCGCCCCCCGTCCTCCCCAGATGCCACCGGGGTGGCACCTCCTGCAGCTGGAATTCTCCAACCGGAATGCAGAGGGACCCCCAGAAAGCTGGCCGGGGTCCCCCAGGGAGACGAGAGGGTGGCCTGCAGATGACATGGTGTCTGGCTGCCTGACACCTCGGGGTGGACAGACTGACATCCAGAGTCTAGGGGGGAAGCCACGCCACTGGCTGCACCCCCTTCCCACAGGCCTCCCCTCGGGGACCAGCGTGGTGGCCAAAGCGCCAGTCCTCCCTCTGAGCCAATCCCATTGCAGAGAATGGGGCTCTGCGTGCTGATTGGCCGGATCTGATTCCCACATCTTCCTGGACAGTCACTGTGCCTGGGAGGGAGCATGGGGCGGTGATGGGGTCCCCAGGGGTCACGTGCCCCACAGACTAGAAACGGGAGGGTCCCCAGCCGACCCCCCGGCGGAAATCAGACCACATGACCCAGAAGACGCCCCAGACCTGGGCGCTGGGAGGCTGGGGCCCCGGAAAAGCGGGGAGACTGAGCTTCGGCCTCTGCGGGGCTCGCAGGTCCCGTGCCAGGTGCTGGCCGTGCTCCTGCACTACTTCTTCCTGAGCGCCTTCGCCTGGATGCTGGTGGAGGGGCTGCACCTCTACAGCCTGGTCGTCAGGGTCTTCGGCTCCGAGGACAGCAAGCTCCGCTACTACTACGGCGTCGGGTGGGGTAGGTGCCAGGGGGGGGAGGC